CCTGCTCCGCATCGCAGAGGCGCCCCGCCGCGGGCGCCGCTCTTTGCTTGGTGGGTGTGAGCGGAATGCGCATCGTGACAAAAACAGAAGTTGCATGCAAAATGAGTCGCGAAAGCAATGGTTGCCTTCAGCGTCCTAAATTGGTATTCGGCGCGGCGCGGAGGAGAGCTGCCGAGGGCCAGCCGGCGAGGGCCGAGAGGCCAGACAGCTGCAGCTCGAGGCGCGGCACACTGCATCGCGTCGCCAATTCGCTTGGGGAGGACGTGGCACAGATTACAGTCGCTGTCTCTCTCGACAGTGATGGCTGCAAGAGCGCCAGATCGATCGCCCTCTGCTTATATAAGTTTGCGGGGCGTCAGAAGAGAAAGAAGGCTGGAAGGCAAAAATGCGAGGGCATCAGGCTTTGCTGGCGATGGCCGAAATGCCAAACAGCCACAACTCGAGGCGCGGCGCTCTGCATTGCGTTGCCAATTCGCCTGGGGTGGACGTGGCACTCAACGCCGGGGTCAGGCGTCCCGGAGAACCGGGCTGCTTTTTCGCCCAGACTCTATATCTAGATATCTCGGTATCGGGGGGCGCGGCTGGGCGTGGACTCGATCTTTGGATGTCTCGACATCCCGATCTTGGGGGGCGGGGCCGGGCCCGAACTCGATAGGACTCGATATCTCGATATCTCGAGCGGGGCCCGGCGGGGACATGCGTTCGGGGCCTCCTGATGTCACCATAATTAGTGATCATTTGGGTTTCGTTCGCGAGGGCCAGGCCTGGGACATTGGTCTTGAGTCGGGTCTCTCCCGAAACGCCCCCAGCTGGAGGCAGGCCGTCGTTCTTTTGGACTTTAGCGCTCAGGACGCTGAAGGAGCTCGTCGAGGCGCAAGCGGCGCCTGACGAGCTTTGGAGGTTAATGGGCAATGCGTGGGCAGATTGTTTCGCCAAGCTCGGAGCTAATGATGTGGCTATTGCTGAAGTAGCGGTCAGTGCCCTTCAAAACGAGGTGCGGAATTGCAAAATCACGCTTGAGTTTTTGTCCCGACCAGTACAGCTGATTAGCTTCCACCCCGAGGCCTAGGAGTGTGATCCACCACCTCCCAAGCCTGTAGTTCCCAGGTGTGATCCGGCAGCCCCCTTGTGGGGCCACCAGGCTGTAGGCCGGAGGTTCGCAGTTTCCTGTACCAGTTGCAGCTTCCAGTTTCCACTCTTACAATTCTGCTTCTTGCTGCTTACTGTTCCTTGTTGACTTCTTGCTGCTTACTGTTCCTTGTTGATCGACCGCGCGAGGGGGGGAGGCCCAAAACGGGCATTTTTACCACACCCAAATCGTATTGTCTGAATTGCTAGTGGGTAAAAATTTACACCCCTCACGCAGATCGGCGGGGTCAGGGTCCAAAAAACACAGAAAAGGATTTGCCACATTTCTAAAAAAATCGGTGGCACACCTCACGCAGATCGGCGGGGTCAGGGTCCAAAAACACAAAGGTTTTGCTACATTTCTAAAACAATCGGCGGCACCCCTCATGCAGATCCGTAGGGTCAGGTTCCAAAAACACAGGGGATTTGACACATTTCTGAAATTCGGCGGCACCCCTCACGCAGATCGGCGGGGTCAGGGTCCAAAAACACATGGGATTTGCCACATTTCTAAAATTCGGCGGCACCCCTCATGCAGATCCGTAGGGTCAGGGTCCAAAAACACAAGAGCTTTGCCACATTTCTGAAATTTGGAAGCACCCCTCACGCAGATCGGCTGGGTCAGCGTCCAAAAACACAAAGGATTTGCGAAATTCGGTGACACCCCTCACGCAGATTGGCGGGGTCAGGGTGCAAAAACACATGGGATTTGCAACTTTTCTGAAATTCGGTGACACCCCTCACGCAGATCGGCGGGGTCAGGGTCCAAAAACACACAAAGGTTTTGTCACATTTCTGAGAAATTCGGCGGCACCCTCATGCAGATTGGCAGGGTCAGGGTCCAAAAACACAAGGGAGTTCCCACGTTTCTGAAATTCGGCGGCACCCCTCACGCAGATTGGCAGGGTCAGGGGCCAAAAACAATCGGATGTGTCACCTTTCTCAAATTCGGCGGCACAGATCCGTAGGGTCAGGGTGCAAAAACACAAAGGATTTGCCGCATTTCTGAAATTCGGCGGCACCCCTCACGCAGATCCGTAGGGTCAGGGTCGAAAAAAACAATCAGGTCCCAACACTGCTGCACCGCGAAGCCAAAGCCTCATGACTTCGCCCTTCCATGGCCCATTCTCCGAGAGAGGGAGCCCTTACGGATAAACTTGGGTTGATCGCGCACGATCCTGTACCCCTGGCCCCGGGTTCGACGACCGCGGTGCAGTGCAGGCGCTGTTTGGCCATGGCGAAGACCCCTTCCAGTGTCAAGCCGCTCCTGAAGCCAGGGGCCAAGTGCGCTCCGCCTCCCATGCTCCAGGCCTTGGCCCAGGCTGTGGAGCAGATGGGGTGGCGGTCCCGCGTGGAAGGGGGGAACTGATACTGCCTTTCCCCCCCGCCGGGGGGGATGCTCGCAGTATAGTTTTGAATCACACTCGGGGGCGTCGACGGGGGGAGGGCCTGGGCTCGGGGTGGAGTCTGCTGCATCTGCTTCTGCTGTGGGGGCGGAGATGGGCGGGCTTCTCTTCGAGTGTAATGGCCATCGGGTCCATGGCACGGGGCCGTTACTTTTCTGCCTTCCCTGTGGGGCGCGGGTGGCTGCCGGCTCTCCCGACGTGGATGCCCCCGGGGAGGCCTGTCCTCTGGCCCCCCTCGAACCCGCGCCCGTCGACGAGCCAGGGACTGGCTTCCTGGCGGCAGGCACCCTTCTGCAGGCACGGTGCTGACTGCCCAGTTCGTCGGATTCCTCGCAGGCGTTGGCGGTGTTGCCGCGCCAGCCTGTCGCTGATTCCCTACCTAGGCAATGCCTAGAAGGGTTCTTACCCTCTTGGCTTAAAGGGCCGGGCAGTGCAACCCGCCCAGGGCGGTTCCCCCGGCATCCGCCCCGCGGTTTCCCCAGTTGCGCCCCCTGGGTTCACCCAGCTTAGCTTAGCTTAGCTTAACTTAGCTTAGATTTGCCTAGCCTAGCCTAGCCTAGCCTAGCCTAGCTTAGCTTAGCTTATTTAGCATATGTCACCTGAGCTTAGCTTAGCTTAGCTTAGCTTAGCTTAGCTTGGCTTAGCTTGGCTTAGCTTAGCTTAGCTTTAGCCTAGCCTAGCTTAGCTTAGCTTGACTTAGCTTAGTCTAACATAGTTTAGCTTACCTTTAGCTTAGCGCAGCGCAGCACAGCGTAGCATTAGCACAGCATAGCCTAGCATAGCCAGGCATAATATAGCATAGCATAGCACAGCACAGCATATCATAGCTCAGCATGGCATGGCATGGCATAGCATAGCATAGCATAGCGCTGCATAGCATAGCATAGCATAGCATAGCATAGCATGGCATAGCATTGATTAGCATAGCACAGCGCAGCATAGCATAGCACAGCATTGCACAGCACAGCATAGCATTGCATAGCGTTGCATAGCATACCATAGCGCAGCATAGCATCACATAGCATAGCATAGCCTAGCATAACATAGCGCAGCAGAGCATGTCATAGCCTAGCCTAGTCTAGCATAGCATAGCATAGCATAGCGCAGCATAGCATAGCATAGCATTGCATAGCGCAGCATATCATAGCATAGCATAACATAGCGCAGCATAGCATGGCATGGCATAGCCTAGCATAACACAGCGCAGCCGAGCGTACCCTAGCATAGCATAGCATAGCATAGCGCAACATAGCGCAACATAGCGCAGCATTGCAAAGCATAGCATAGCGCAGCATAGCATAGCTATTATAGACGTAGATGTAGATGTGAGTCTCGCTGTTGATGTTGATGTAGATGTATATGCAGGTGTAGATGTAAATGTAGCTGTCGGTGTAGATGTAGTTGTTGCTTTCCTAAATGCTCCAACTCCTAGGTAGGGTCGCACTGAGATAATTTGCTGTGAGTGTTTTCCGCACCTCTTTTAAATCGTGCTTCCATATCCTGTCCAGGATGTGTTTCGTTCTCGGATGACTCATTGTCCTATGGTTCCGCTCCGCTTCGATCCATACGACGATCCATACGACGTCTTCCCCACACCCATGCTTAGGGCATCTCGCCTAGGCAACTCGCCTGGGTCTCCGACTCCGTCCGAGGCCGCGCGTTACAGTCGAGGTTGATCGGAGAGAGCACGCGAGAGGACACAAGACCCTCGCCGAAGGTCACTGCCATAGAAGTGCAGAAAGCATGGGTCGCGAACCGCAGGACACGAGGGTTACTTCCCTATCTATTTTTACAAGTCCGGGGGGGGGACTCCCCCCATCCCCCCCAAAAATCTGGGATAAACTTTTGGCGCGCCGAGCGGATTTCTTAGATCTTGGATCTATGCTAATCCCCCCTCTCTGGCGCGCGGAGCGCGCCAGGGGCGGTGCCGGAGGCGCCGCCGGGGGGGGGGGCAGCGCGGAACCAAGAGATTCGCGCGGAACGCCGAAAGGCTTATGTTTGTGGCGTTTTTTCTTCTTCGACTCCCGCCCTCCTTTCCCTGCGCCGCCGCCGGTCGTCTCATATTCGTATGTCGCTCGTCGCTCGTCGCTCGTCGCCGTGTCTTCGTCCAGCCCCGTCTGCGCCGGTAAAAAAAAAAAGAGTGTCAGCTGCTGGAGGCCAGGCGCCTTCCCCCCCTCGCCGATAGCGACCTCGTGGCGAGGCGGGGGCGAGCCTGGCCAGGCACCCCCTCTCCGGGACGCGCGGGCTCGGCCGGCTCGCGGCCGAACCGGCTGGGGCCCAGGAGGGAGCACGGGATCCTCTCACGCTCGTCGAAGACGGGCGGCCTGCTCGGGCGGGTGGCAGTCGGGGGGGCCTCCATGGGGTGACCTCCGTCCGCTCGCTGCTCGTCTTGCTCCCTGAAACGAAGCCAGGGCGAAAATGAAATCAGGTGAGGGTAAATCGAGAATCTCTGAGATCCAGCGGCTCTGGAGGATGTCTCGGGCACCGCGGCCTTCTCAGAGCGTTCCGAAACGCTCTGAGAGCGTTCTGGAACGCTCTGGAACGAATTTGTCCTCGTCCTAGCACCGTCCGACGAAGGACCCAGACGGGGCCGTTTAGGGACCCTTTTAGGCCCCTGCTGGCTCCTAAAGGGGCCCAAAGGCCTAAGGGGCCTCTGTAGGGCCCTTTTCTCCACCCCCCATGTAGGTCACCCCTCATTACCACACGCCCGACCTGCGGGAGATGTTCTGGCCAGGACTCGGCAGATCCTGGACGCAGGTGGCCTCGATGTCGCTCGCCTGGTTGCCCACTGCCCCGCCGCTGGCCAGCTCCACTCCCGGCAACAACTCGGGCGGCGCGAAGGCTCCGGCCAAGAGCCGGCGTGACGTGCGGCTGCCCATGCGAGGCTCGCGGATGCGCATGTCGAGCCTCCTTTGGGCGTCGCGTAATGGGGGGCGATGATGGGGGGGACAAAGGTGTACTCTGAGGGCCTTGAAATCCTCCCCTCTGGGGCCCGAAAGGGCCTCTTCGGGCCCTACAGAAACCCTCAAAAGCCCCTTTTCTGCAGCCCTCGCTGCCCCCCGTTTTTACCGCCCCCCCATGGCGCGGCGGCCAACTCCTCGTGTTGGGAAGGTCTTCGAGAGCCACAGGTGCCGAACCCTGGGGAGCTCGGAGCGAATGGGGTCTGCGGATCCTGTTGGGGCCGAGGCCGCCGGGGCCCGGCACGGCCCCGCCGTGGCCCACTCCGCAGGGGCGCCCGCGGGCCACCCTGGGAGTCGAGGGCTGCCTCGGTGCGGGCGCCACGCTGGATGCCTCCGCCCACGCCAACACTGGCCTTGGTCGCTGCTCGCTGACGGGATGGAGACTGTCGCCCGCAAAACTCGGCATCCCTGCGGTGCCTGGAGTGGGGGTGCTGCAGTATTGTGCAGGGCTCCAGATCTGGACGGTAAAACAAATCTTCGCCCAAATGCTGAGCCAGAAACGGCTTGAGCCAATTTTGTGATACGGATTGCAACCTTTTGAGCGGTGTTGGGAGGCCGCTGGGGCCTCTGGAGATCTCAGAAGTATCATGGTGGACTATTGGTCCATCTTTGACACCTCGTGGAGTGCGTCGTGGTCCCTCTCGGGCCGTATTGTGTGGGGACTATGGGGGCTATGGGGAGACGTTAGGGGGGACAGGCTCACGGGGGGGAAACGTCCATCTGGAATTGGCGATACATCGCCGACAGATCAGCGACCAGCCCCTGATGGCGATACTGGACGGTCCTGGCCGGGGCCAGCTCTCGGGCTCCTATCGGCGATCCATGGGCGATTGGGGGTCGATGCATCACCCCCTGAGCCTGTCCCCCCGACCGTTGCCCCTGAGGGAGGACCGAGGGGCGTCATCCTAGGCACCCCGTGCCATCACGAATGAAGGCTCCCCCGGGCAAGAGGCAGCTCCAAGGCGGGCCCCCAAGGATGCCCCCTTGGGAGGCTCTCTGTTGGGCCCTTTTGAACCTCGCACGACTGGCACAAGCACGAGGCCTTCCTTGTTTTTCTTGGCGCCCTCTTTGGCTGTTTCGGGATGTCGCTGGGGCCTCTCTTGGGCAGCCTTCGAGCACCCAGAAAACCAGATGAGATCGTGTTGAGCCGAATGTCCGAAGAAACTAAAGTTAGGTCGGGCATGTCCTCCTACAGGCGTATTTCAAAGAAAGAGCTGGGTCCTCGTTTCGAAGAGTCAGCCCCACGCGTTCCTCCTCTCCTCTCCTATCCTTTCCTCTCCTCTCCTTTCCTCTCCTCTCCTCTCCTCTCCTCTCCTCCTCCTCCCCCCCCTCCCTCCTCCCACCGTCATCATAATTATCAGAATCACCATGATCAGCATCGGCATCATCATGATAAATATCAGCATCCGCATCAACATCATCATCATCAGCAGCAGCAGCATCAGCAGCAACAGCATCATCAACATCAACATCACCATCAGCGTCGGCACCATCATCATCATTCTCCTCACCATCATCACCATCCGCATCATCATCATCATCATCATCATCATCATCATCATCATCATCATCATCATCCTAATCACCATCATCGGTAACACCATCAGCATCGGCATTATCACCAGCACCAGCATCATTATCATAATCATCCGCATCAGCATCAGCATCAGCATCGGCACCATCATCACCACCATCATCATCGACAGAGAGAGAGAGAGACAGAGAACGCGTTTCACGGGCGCTTGCATTGGGAAAATGCGGCGGCGCGTCTCGAACCGGGGGGTGCCCACCCCAAAACACTCGGCGCCGACGGGATCCAAACCACGGGGACTCCCCTCCCCACCAAACCCCCCCCCTCCCGAACCCCTTTCCCCCCCATCCCAAGAGCCCC